TGCATATACAAACTGGGATACAAATCTTGTGTACATACCTTATTCTGTACAAGATGTTTGCTTATTTTGCACTTTCACTTTACCTTAGTCTGTAAAATTTTGAAGCCCAAGACTACTATAATTTCTTGTTTTCCCACTCACAATGTTGCCATAGCAAGATGAGTCACTATTAATTTAATGTAGCAGGATGCAAAATCTTGCTACGTTGTTTACTTTTTACTGTTTAAAAGAAGTGTGACATGACTCAGAAGTATCCAGCACTTACTGAAGCCATTAGGGTCCACTTGTATGTGATGGAAAAAGGGTGGAAATGAATATAATTGTAAATGGAAGAGTAGAAGGAAAAAAGCAGGATCATTTTGAAGGTGAAAGAGTACTTCAAATTGGAAAGGGGAGCCAGGTCTGTCAATTCTCAGCGCTATGTGCAGTAAACTGGAGGCAACATGACTTTGAAAGTAAGCAGCTGCCTATTCACAGAGGCAAGCTCAAGGGTAGTGTTCCCATGGTTAGTCTGGCATGAGTGGGGCAGCTGTCAGTGAGTCTCTCCTCATATAGTCATATCAGAAATTAGAGACAACACACTGGCCTGAGAGGGAGGGCAAGTGAGTGAGACTCCCTTAAAAAGGAACCCCAAGGCAATCTCAGATAATCAGCAAAGCAACAACCCCAGACTGCGCAACCTCTTTGCGGAGTGACTTCTGGGAAAGGGACTTTGTTCCTAAGAATAACTGACATTGGACTTCTCAGAGATCCTGAAGGAAATGTCTGGAAGCAAAATAATTGAGAAAGATTTAGACATTTTTTATTCTTTATGAACATCTTTATCATATAAGTTATAGCTCTAACAGGATCTTACAAAATATGGATCCTTAATCAACGTTTATAGGAGATGATTTTTGTAGACTTAAAAAATAGGAACTTGGAGGCATGCATTCAGACTAACAGTTAAGATGTTGGCATCCCTGGGGCAGATGCTGTGGCGCAGCAGGTTAAAGCCCTGGCATCCCATATGGGTACCGGTTCTAGTCCCTGCTGCTTCTCTTCAGATCCAGTTCTCTGCTATGGCCTGGGAAAGCAGTAGAAGATGGCCCAAGTTCATGGGCCCCTGCACCCAAGTGGGCGACCTGGAAGAAGCTCCTGGCTCCTGGTTTCAGATCGGCAAAGCTATGGCCATTGTAGCCATCTAGGGAGTTAACCAGCAGATGGAATACCTCTCTCTCTGTCTTTACACCTCTCTGTAACTGTCTTTCAAATAAATAAAATAAATCTTAAAAAAAAAAAAAAGATGCCTGCATCCCATAGCAGAGTACTTGGGTTTGATACCTGGCTCTAGCCCCTGACTCCTGCTTCCTGCTAAGGTATACCCTGCAAAACAGTGGTGATGGCTCAAGTAAGTGGGTTTCTGCCACTTATGTGGGAGATTTGGAATCCAATCCTGGCTCTGGGTTTTTACTTGGTCTTGTAGACATTTGAGGAGTGAACTAGCAGTTGAGAGCAGATCAGACTTTCTCTGTTTCTCAAACAAATAAAGCAAGAACACAGAACATATAAACAGAGAATATCCATTTTTTTGAGCTCTTTTTGTCACAAAGAATAAAAGAATCTTTGAAACATAATTTCATAGTGTCATACATAATTCACTCATTAGTCATCTTGTCTTCTTTCTGTTCTACAGTAGTCAGAGAAAAGGTTTAAACTAAGTTTCCTTATTTTTCTTGATGCTTTACTATATTTACTTGGTAAGCATGTTTAATACAGAAGTCCAATCAGCAAAATATGTGATATCCTAATAGGCTAAGTTCAAATTTATCTCTTGGTAATGAGGATATCCTAGAGCTAATATAGCCATAAATTATTTTTAAAAGATAAAAATGTTTTTATGTGATACAAACAATTTAATTAAATGGTAAAATAATGAGTGATACGCGGGGGCGGAGCCAAGATGGCGGAATAGTGAGGGCGCGCACCGATAGTCCGGGAAAATTTAGTTTAATAAAAGGGGAGTTACGGTAGCCTCAGAAAAAAGAACCAGGAAAATATTGCAGAGGAAACTCTTCTGGATCGAGTGGCTGTGAATCGGAGGACCTACTGGGAGAACAAGGTCGCCCTCCGCGCGGAAGCCGAGCCATGGGAGCCGCAGGTGCCGCGGGAGCCGCAGGGTCTGCGTGCCAGTGCAGGAAGGGGAGTGCATGTCACACAGACACCAGCGGGGAGAATTGGGACGTCCAGGGCTCCGAGTCCACACATCGGCGCTGGAAGGGGAGGAAGAACCAAGCAGAGCTCTCAGGCCGCACCCATCTCAAGCCCCCAAGGCTCCTCCAACAGCAGGCAGTCCACTTAACACGGACATAGTATAAAATTAAAAAAAAAAAATAAAAAAAAAACGCACAGTGACGAAAGAAGAATTAACTATGCCAAGCAACAAACACAGAAATCGAGGGAACAAGATCAACGATGACACTATGATGCCTCCAAATAAACAAAACACCCCAAACCAAGATTATGAAGATGATGAGATAGAAGAAATGCAAGATACGGATTTCAAAAAATTTATGATAAGAACATTTAGAAGTTTTCAAAAGCAAATCCTTGAACTACAGAAATCCTTATTGGACAGGATTGAAAATCTCTCTCATGAAAATGAAATTTTAAGGAAGAATCAAAATAAAACTCAGAAACTAGTAGAACAGGAAAGTGTGATAGTGAAGAGAAATCAAAATGAAATGAAGAGCTCAATAGATCAAATGACAAACACATTAGAAAGCCTTAAAAACAGAATGGGTGAAGTAGAAGAGAGAATATCGGACTTAGAAGATGGAGCACAGGAAAACATACAGTCAAACCAAAGAAAAGAAGAGGAAATTAGAAATCTAAAAAATATTGTTGGGAATCTACAGGATACTATTAAAAAAACCAACATTCGAGTTCTAGGAGTTCCTGAAGGCATGGAGAGAGAGAAAGGATTAGAAGGCCTTTTTAGTGAGATACTAGCAGAGAACTTTCAGGTTTGGAGAAGGACAGAGATATCCTAGTACAGGAAGCTCATAGAACCCCCAATAAACATGACCAAAAGAGATCCTCACCACGACACGTAGTAATTAAACTTACCACAGTGAAACATAAAGAAAAGATCCTAAAATGTGCAAGAGAGAAACGTCAGATTACTCTCAGAGGATCTCCAATCAGACTCACAGCAGACTTCTCATCAGAAACACTACAGGCTAGGAGGGAATGGTGAGACATAGCACAGGTGCTAAGAGAGAAAAATTGCCAGCCCAGAATATTATATCCTGCCAAGCTCTCATTTGCGAATGAAGGTGAAATAAAGACCTTTCATAGCAAACAGAAATTGAAAGACTTTGTGGCCACTCGTCCGGCCCTGCAAAAGATACTTAAAGATGTGCTACACTCAGAAACACAAAAACACGGCCATCAATATGAAAGAAGGGAAAGGAAGAACACCTACCAGTAAAAGAGCATGGGAAGCTCAAAGCATATACTAGAAAATATTTCTGGGAAAATGGCAGGGCAAAGTCACTACGTATCAATAGTCACATTGAACATTAATGGACTTAACTCTTCAGTTAAAAGACACCGTTTGGCTGACTGGCTCAAAGAACACAACCCAACTATTTGTTGCCTACAAGAAACACATCTCTCTAACAAAGAGGCATGCAGACTGAAAGTGAAAGGTTGGAAAAAGATATTCCATGCCAACAGAAACCAAAAAAAAGCAGGTGTAGCCATATTAATATCAGACAAAATAAACTTTAATACAAAAACTGTTAAGAGAGACAAAGAGGGACACTATATAATGATTAAGGGTTCAATTCAACAGGAAGATGTAACTATTATAAATGTATATGCACCTAATTACAGGGCACCGGTCTATTTAAAAGATATGTTAAGGGACTTAAAGGGAGATTTAGATTCCAATACAATAGTACTGGGGGACTTCAATACTCCACTCTCAGAAACAGACAGATCATCCGGACAGAAGATCAACAAGGAAACAGCAGATTTAATTGACACTATTGCCCAAATGGATCTAACAGATATCTACAGAACTTTCAATCCTACATCTACAGACTTCACATTCTTCTCAGCAGTGCATGGAACCTTCTCTAGGATTGATCACATACTAGGCCATAAAGCAAGTCTCAGCAAATTTAAAAGAATTAGAATCATACCATGCAGCTTCTCAGACCACAGCAGAATGAAGCTGGAAATTAGCAACTCAGGAAACCCCAGAAAGTATGCAAACACATGGAGACTGAACAAAATGCTCCTGAATGAACACTGGGTCATTCAAGAAATCAAAAGAGAAATCAAAAACTTTCTGGAAGTAAATGAAGACAACAACACAACATATCAAAACTTATGGAATACAGCAAAAGCAGTATTGAGAGGCAAATTTATATCAATAGGTGCCTATATCAAGAAATTGGAAAGGTACCAAATAAATGAGCTTTCAGCGCATCTCAAGGACCTAGAAAAACTGCAGCAAACCAAACCCAAATCTAGTAGGAGAAGAGAAATAACTAAAACCAGAGAAGAAATTAACAGGATTGAATCCAAAAAAACACTACAAAAAATCAGCCAAGCGAGAAGCTGGTTTTTTGAAAAAATAAACAAAATTGACACCCCATTGGCCCAACTAACTAAAAAAAGAAAAGACCCAAATCAATAAAATCAGAGATGAAAAAGGAAACGTAACAACAGACACCACAGAAATAAAAAGAATCATCAGAAATCACTACAAGGACCTGTATGCCAGCAAACAGGAAAATCTATCAGAAATGGATAGATTCCTGGACACATGCAATCTACCTAAATTGAACCATGAAGACATAGAAAACCTAAATAGACCCATAACTGAAACAGAAATTGAAACAGTAATAAAGGCCCTCCCAACAAAGAAAAGCCCAGGACCAGATGGATTCACTGCTGAATTCTACCAGACATTTAAAGAAGAACTAATCCCATTTCTTCTCAAACTATTCAGAACAATCGAAAAAGAGGGAATCCTCCCAAATTCTTTCTATGAAGCCAGCATCACCTTAATTCCTAAGTTGGAAAAAGATGCAGCATTGAAAGAAAATTACAGACCAATATCCCTGATGAACACAGACGCAAAAATCCTCAATAAAATTCTGGCCAATAGAGTACAACAACACATCAGGAAAATCATCCACCCAGACCAAGTGGGATTCATCCCTGGTATGCAGGGATGGTTCAACATTCGCAAATCAATCAATGTGATTCACCACATTAACAGACTGCAGAAGAAAAACCATATGATTATCTCAATTGATGCAGAGAAAGCATTCGATAAAATTCAACACCCTTTCATGATGAAAACTCTAAGCAAATTGGGTATAGAAGGAACATTCCTCAATATAATCAAAGCAATTTATGAAAAACCCACGGCCAGCATCCTATTGAATGGGGAAAAGTTGGAAGCATTTCCACTGAGATCTGGCACCAGGCAGGGATGCCCACTCTCACCACTGCTATTTAACATAGTTCTGGAAGTATTAGCCAGAGCCATCAGACAAGAAAAAGAAATCAAAGGAATACAAATCAAGAAGGAAGAAGTCAAACTATCCCTTTTTGCAGACGATATGATTCTTTACTTAGAGGATCCAAAGAACTCTACTAAGAGACTATTGGAACTCATAGAGGAGTTTGGCAAAGTGGCAGGATATAAAATCAATGCACAAAAATCAACAGCCTTTGTATACACAAGCAACGCCATGACTGAGAAAGAACTGCTAAGATCAATCCCATTCACAATACCTACAAAAACAATCAAATACCTTGGAATAAACTTAACCAAGGATGTTAAAGATCTCTACGATGAGAATTACAAAATCTTAAAGAAAGAAATAGAAGAGGATACCAAAAAATGGAAAAATCTTCCATGCTCATGGATTGGAAGAATCAACATCATCAAAATGTCCATTCTCCCAAAAGCAATTTATAGATTCAATGCAATCCCAATCAAGATACCAAAGACATTCTTCTCAGATCTAGAAAAAATGATGCTGAAATTCATATGGAGGCACAAGAGACCTCGAATAGCTAAAGCAATCTCGTACAACAAAAACAAAGCCGGAGGCATCACAATACCAGATTTCAGGACATACTACAGGGCAGTTGTAATCAAAACATCATGGTACTGGTACAGAAACAGATGGACAGACCAATGGAACAGAATTGAAACACCAGAAATCAACCCAAACATCTACAGCCAACTTATATTTGATCAAGGATCTAAAACCAATTCCTGGAGCAAGGACAGTCTATTCAATAAATGGTGCTGGGAAAACAGGATTTCCACGTGCAGAATCATGAAGCAAGACCCCTACCTTACACCTTACACAAAAATCCACTCAACGTGGATTAAAGACCTAAATCTACGTCCTGACACCATCAAGTTATTAGAGAACATTGGAGAAACCCTTCAAGATATTGGCACAGGCAAAGAATTTCTGGAAAAGACCCGGGAGGCGCAGGCAGTCAAAGCCAAAATCAACTATTGGGATTGCATCAAATTGAGAAGTTTCTCTACTGCAAAAGAAACAGTCAGGAGAGTGAAGAGACAACCGACAGAATGGGAAAAAATATTTGCAAACTATGCAACAGATAAAGGATTAATAACCAGAATCTACAAAGAGATCAAGAAACTCCACAACATCAAAAAAAACAACCCACTTAAGAGATGGGCCAAGGACCTCAATAGACATTTTTCAAAAGAGGAAATCCAAATGGCCAATAGGCACATGAAAAAATGTTCAAGGTCACTAGCAATCAGAGAAATGCAGATCAAAACCACAATGAGGTTTCACCTCACCCCGGTTAGAATGGCTCACATACAGAAATCTACCAACAACAGATGCTGGCGAGGATGTGGGGAAAAAGGGACACTAACCCACTGTTGGTGGGAATGCAAACTGGTCAAGCCACTATGGAAGTCAGTCTGGAGATTCCTCAGAAACCTGAAGATAACCCTACCGTTCGACCCAGCCATCCCACTCCTTGGAATTTACCCAAAGGAGTTTAAATTGGCAAACAAAAAAACGGTCTGCACCCTAATGTTTATCGCAGCACAATTCACAATAGCCAAGACCTGGAACCAACCTAAATGCCCATCAACGGTAGACTGGATAAAGAAATTATGGGATATGTATTCTTTAGAATACTATACCGCAGTAAGAAACAACGAAATCCAGTCATCTGCAACAAAATGGAGGAATCCGGAACACATCATGGTGAGTGAAGTAAGCCAGTCCCAAAGGGACAAATACCATATGTTCTCCCTGATCGGTGACAACTGACTGAACACCAAAAAGGAAACCTCCTGAAGTGAAATGGACACTATGAGAAATGGTGACTTGATCAGCATAGCCCTGACTGTTAATGAACAACTTAATACATTATCCCTCTTAGTATTTTTTTTTGTCTGTTCTACTTAATATGACTGGTTTAATTCTGTAATTATCACACAGTTATTCTTAAGTGTTGAAAATTAACTGAAATGTGATCCCTGTTAAATATAAGAGTGGGAATAAGAGAGGGAAGAGATGTATAATTTGGGACATGCTCAAGCTGACCTGCCCCAAATGGCAGAGTTAGAAACATACCAGGGGATTCCAATTCAATCCCATCAAGGTGGCATGTACCAATGCCATCTCACTATTCCAAGTGATCAGTTTCAGTTCACAATTGATCATAATGAAAGGACTAAGAGTCAAAGGGAGCACATAAGCAAGTCTAGTACCTGCTAACACTAACCGATAGAATAAATAAAGGGGAGAGTGATCCAGCATGGGAAGCAAGATACTCAGCAGACTCATAGAATGGCAGATGTCCTAAATAGCACTCTGGCCTCAGAATCAGCCCTAAAGCCATTTGGATCTGGCTGAAAAGCCCATGAGAGTATTTCAGGCATGGAAAGCCAAGACACTCTGGCAAAAAGATCTCTGTGAGTGAGATCCCAGTGGAAAGAACAGGTCTTCAAAGAAGGAGGTACCTTTCTCTGAAGGGAGGAGAGAACCTCCACTTTGACTATGACCTTGTCTAAACAAGATAAGAGTCGGAGAACTCAGAGGGCTTCCATAACCTTGGAAACTCATGACTGGAGCATAGGGAGATTACTGATGCCATAGACAGGAGTGTCAATTGGTAAAGTCAACAACAGGAGTCACTGTGCACTTACTCCTCATGTAGGATCTCTGGCCTTAATGTGCTGTACATTGAGACTTAATGCTATAACGAGTACTCAAACAGTTTCACTTTGTGTTTCTATGGGGGTGCAAACTGTTGAAATCTTTACTTAATGCATACTAAACTGATCTTCTGTAAAAAAAAAAAAAAAGAAAGAAAGAAAGAAAGAAATTATCAATTCCCAACTTGACTCTCACTGGGATTAAACATGACAATAGGTCTGATCTGATTTCATCATCATTTAAAAAAATCATCTTCTATTTTTCACTTTATGTTTCAGTGTGGGAGCAAACTGTTGAAATCCTTACTTAATGTATACTAAACTGATCTTCTGTATATAAGGAGAATCGAAAATGAATCTTGATGTGAATGGAAGGGGAGAGGGAGTGGGAAAGGGGAGGGTTGCGGGTGGGAGGGACGGTATGGGGGGGGAAGCCATTGTAATCCATAAGTCGTACTTTGGAAATTTATATTCATTAAATAAAAGTTAAAAAAAAAATGAGTGATAGGCCTCACTAGGTTAATCTTCCACCTTGCAGAATCAGCACATCGGGTTCTCGTCCCGGTCAGGGCACCGGATTCTGTCCCGGTTGCCCCTCTTCCAGGCCAGCTCTCTGCTGTGGCCAGGGAGTGCAGTGGAGGATGGCCCAAGTACTTGGGCCCTGCACCCCATGGGAGACCAGGAGAAGTACCTGGCTCCTGCCATCAGATCAGCGCAGTGCGCCGGCCGCGGCAGCCATTGGAGGGTGAACCAACAGCAAAGGAAGACCTTTCTCTCTGTCTCTCTCACTGTCCACCCTGCCTGTCGGCCGCGGCAGCCATTGGAGGGTGAACCAACAGCAAAGGAAGACCTTTCTCTCTGTCTCTCTCACTGTCCACCCTGCCTGTCAAAAATAAAAATAAAAAAAATGAGTGATAAAAATATTCAGTGGAAAGCTTATATTATTGATGGTAAATACAAATAGTTGATTGGGACTTATCACTGGAGACTTCGGCTGTCACCAAACTATTTATACTCAAAGCTTTAAAAAAGAAAACCCTGTTCTTAACAATAAAGCAGATCAAGCTACGTAATTTTAGGTAGTTGAAGATATGTTTCACCAATACTCTAATGTAAATAGAAAACATTACTTTTGGTTCTTTGTTCAGATATGGGAAAAGTACTCATTTTGATAGGTTTAAAGTCGGATGACTAGGCAAGTAGCAAGAGGTAATAGATTAAGATGACTTAAGACAGATAGAACAACCTGATAGAAGAAGGAGGGGCTGGTACTGTGGTGCAGTGGGTTAACGCCCTGGCCTGAAGCGCCAGCACTGCATCCATATAGGTGCTGATTCGAGACTTGGCTGCTCTACTTCCGATCCAGCTCTTTGCTATGGCCTGGGAAAGCAGCAGAAGATGGCCCAAGTCCTTTGGGCCCCTGCACCTGCGTGGGAGACCCGGAAGAAGCTCCTGGCTTCGGATCGGCGCAGCTCTGGCTGTTGTGGCCAGTTGAGGAGTGACCAACAGATGGAAAACCTCTCTCTCTTTCTACCTCTCCTCTCTGTGTAACTCTGACTTTCAAATAAATAAATAAATCTTAAAGAAATAGGAAACTGGTTGGTATTGTGTCCACTAAACAGCCCCCTAAACACCAGCAGCAAAATAATCTACATAATTATTGAAAGTAAACAATCTTGGAGACAGTTACAGAGACTGGAGAATGGCTGAATGAAACTTAAAGTGTAAATTTCATGTTTTCATGAAGGTAAAACTTATCTAAGCAGTTTTTAAAAAAGATAAAGAAACCAAATTCTTTTCTGGTGTGTTGCAGTTTACTCATACCAGCTCAGGAGAACCCACTGTTTTATTTTCAGCAACTCTGTAAACTAGTTAATTATAACCATCAATAAAAAAGAATTCCATAAAGTTAAACTTATTCAATTATACTAATAAGCAAGGTAATATATAGGTTGGCTATCCCTTACCTGAACTGCTTGCTGCTAGAAGTGTTTCAGATTTGGGAGTTTTTTGGATTTTAGAATATTTGTATAGACTTTACTGGTTGAGCATCCCTAATCTAAAAATCTAAAATCCTAAACTCTCCAAAGTCTGGAACAGTTGAATTTCAGATTTTCATTTTAGGGATGCTCAACCTATAAGGGCTCTAAACTCATCATTCTCTAACTGCTTTACTACGTTTCATTATTGTGTATGTCTTTGAGAAATTTATATCTAATATATCCACATGATGGAAATATTGCATAATGCTAAACTACCACCATACATCTCTTTCCAACTCTTTCAGTGACTTGATGTTGATAGTTTGAAATCAGTCATGGTGGGAAAAATTACATCAATGAAATTAGTAAATGCTACAAATCAAGTCTTTTTCCCTCCAAAGAACCAATTTTTAAAAATTCACTAGCATATCACTTCCAAGATAAAATTTTGATCAACAGGATGGTTTAAAATGGATAACACTAGAAAATGCTTGAAAAACTATTTCTTGAAAACTCACTGATTACATGTAAGGAAACACTATCTTGGCTGGCGCTGCAGCTCAATAGGCTAATCCTCCACCTTGCGGTGCCGGCACACCAGATTCTAGTCCCGGTCGGGGCACCGGATTCTGTCCCGGTTGCCCCTCTTCCAGGCCAGCTCTCTGCTGTGGCCAGGGAGTGCAGTGGAGGATGGCCCAAGTGCTTGGGCCCTGCACCCCATGGGAGACCAGGATAAGCGCCTGGCTCCTGCCATCGGATCAGCGTGGTGCGCCGGCTGTAGCACGCCGGCTGCAGCACGCTGGCTGCAGCACGCCGGCCGCGGCAGCCATTGGAGGGTGAACCAACGGCAAAGGAAGACCTTTCTCTCTCTCTCTCTCACTGTCCACTCTGCCTGTAAAAAAAAAAAAAAAAAAAAAAAAAAAAAAACTATCTTAAGTAGTACTAGATTATTAAGTATATCAATTCTACTATACTTCATAATACAACTAATGATCATTCTTATTTCATATAGTTCATACCACCACACTCCCCCCTCCCCCACCTTTTTTTTTTTTTTTCAAAGATTTGTTTATTTGAAAGACAGAGTTACAGAGAGAGGAAGAGGGAAGAGAGAGACAGAGCTCTTCCAATTGCTGGTTCACTCCCCAAATGGCAGCAATGGCCAGCACTGGGCCAGGGAGAAGTCAGAAGCTTCTTCCAGGTCTCTCAACATGAGTGCAGGCCAGACCACTTGGGTCATCTTCTATTGCTTTCTCAGGCACATTAGCAAGGAAGTGGACAGTCAGGATTCAAACCAGCACCCATATGGGATGCTGGCAATACAGGTGGCAGCTTAACTTCCTGCGTCATAGCACTGGTTCCACCACCCATCTTTGACTGACTGTTGGAGCTCTGGGGGTTGAATTTTGGTTTGGAGTCATTCTATTAAGAGATAAAGAGAATCTGGCATAAGAGTAGAGTAAGAACTATCAAGAGTCACTGTATATTTTTCAAGACGTTAATTTTAACATTTAAAACAAAACAGAAAACTCTTTCAAAACACTCGGTTTTTGCATATATGAAGGAGTGTGAAGCTGAACAGGGTAGCAATATTTCTTAGAACTTCAGGGTTGGGGCCATAGCAGGTTGAGCTGCTGCCTAAAATACGTATGGGCACCACTTTGAGTCCCAGCTGCTCTATTTCCAATCCAGCTCCCAGCTAATACACTTGGGAGAGCAGGCAGAAGATGGCCCAGGTGCTTGGGTTTGGGTCTCTCCAACCATGTTGTAAGCCCGGATGGAATTCCTGGTTCCTGACTTCAGAATGACACAGCCCCAGCTGTTGTGGCCAATTCGGGGAGTGAACCAGCAGATGGAAGTTCTCACACTCTCTCTCACCCTCTCGCTGTGTAACCATGCCTTTCAAATAAATAAATAAAATCTTAAAAAAAAAAAAAAAAGGAACTTCTTCAGGGTTTTCTGAAGTGCTTTCCTTCATGCAGTAAGGAAGAGGCTGAACAGATGGGACTCTGGTTTCCCTTGCTTGGGCATTAACCAGAGAAATTCAGATTTTTAAGTAAATTTCATATATTGAGTCTCTATGTAAAATATAGTTAGGGAAAAGTATTCCTTTGTTAGAGAGGAGGAGGAGGAGAAGGAAGATACAGGGAGGAAAAGCAAAGAAGAAATTAAAACAGTGTGTTGCAGCATGTAGGTATGAATATGTGTATAATGCAAGCATCTGTACCATCAATGCTTATGAAAGGTATGCTTTTGTGTGCGCATTCTGGGAGGAACTACTTTAGGCAAACTAGATCTATTCATGGTTAAAAAATTAGTGCCTTTTTTTTAGTAAATCATACAAATTACATATATATCTAATTACAATTATTGGTATTTGAGACTATTAGTTTTTTTTTATATT